AGTACATACGGACTCAGGCAGTCCGGGGAGTGGCAGATAGACGCGCTGAAGTGGGCAGAAAACGACGTTTTGTTCGACGACATCGTTGCCCTTGCCGAGGGCGAGGTGGACGCTGTGTTGCCGGTGCTGGAGGGGACGGAGGACTGATCATTGTTCGACACTTCATATTTTAACCTGTTTATATCAATTCGTTGTGAAAATGCGTAACATAGTCGTTCCAGTGCTCGTAAACACATTTTAACCCGTAAAATCGTAAAATAGTAAAAATGGTGCCGTTGACGTAGACACCAAACCTGCGCATACTGCCACAGAGCTGGGACGTGTACATTACCAAGGTATGTCGAAGAATGCAAACAAACAGACCACCGGCAAAAGAGGTACATCTGGAATATTGATTCTGACTACTTCTGAGGCATCAAATTCATATCATAAATATATTTCTTTCATTGCTGCTGCATGAAGTTGAGAAGGGATTTGCCTGGCAGGGCGATCTTTGAAGTTGTCGATATTCGAATTATCTACCAGAATCTTCTACACTCTCCAAGGATGTATGGGTGGTGAGTCATTTCAAGGGAGTGGTAGCCTCTCCACGCCAGACTGAGACATCCCGCAATCTAGCAAGCTGGTAGTTGTGCGGAACACATGTGCAGTGTTGCACATCTGTTGATATTGTGCTTGAACGCATGCTTGGTCTTTACGGCGTAAGCACTGATCGTATTTACGTTTTTGCGCATAAAAATAGTATCTACATTTCTGTGCGTAAGACTGCGAAAAATTAGGTCAATTTTGAATCGGTATACATATAGACAGTACACGCAGACCCAGGAATCCGGGGATTGGCAGCTAGATATGCTGGAGAGGGCATGCAACGACCTTTTAGTTGACCATAACTTTGTACTTGCCGAGCGCGAGATGAACGCTGTGTTGCGGCTGCTTGAGGATCAGAGGACTGATCATTGCAACCGACTTCGTCATGAAACATTGGTATCTCAACGAGCCGTTAAAATACGTAATTGCAGCCGCAAAAACAGCCCCTCCTGCAAATTTACGTTTTTGCGCGTAAAAACATAAACGCAAAACGTAAACGTGAACGTAAAGACCAAGCCTGCTTGAGCGTGACTAATTTTCATCATTATTTAATTATCTGCAGTGAGTCTCCCGCGGCAACACTTCATCAAAATCCATGGATTACATTTGTCACAAAATGACAAAACACGGCCCGTGCACCTGGTAGGCGATGATGGGCGTGGAAACCAAGCAGATAATATGTTCGGCAACACTTGGATTAGCAGAAGACCACAATGTATATGCCGAACGGCCCTTCAAGTGCCAAAGATGCGACGCCTTCCTGATGGCCGTCGATACAATAAAAGTGCCCCACTTGTTGGACTCCTTACCAAGACATTCTACCTCATGTCAAGGCTTGAAACGGACCCAAGATATTACTTTGAAACGACTTGGAAAGCACATGGAATCCTGAATTCGTGTCACAAATTTGCGTTTCAGGTGGCAACCCTATCTTTGACAAATAGAAGAGTCCATTATGGGAAATGATTTCTTCAATAGAACATTCCGAGTCTCAAATGTTTCAGCGATGCATATAGTACTGGTAGCGACATGTTTAGCGCAACACGTTGCAATAATGTACATTGGGAATCGGAGACGTGTAACATCGTCACGCATGATAGTATATCTTCTTATGATACCGACTAATTCCCCATCACGGTTCCAGAAAACATGAGCGAATTAAGACATGCAGACGACAGCAATTATCGAAACATTTTAATAAGTCCACAACGCCAGGTTGCACTCGGCAACTTCATTAATAGATCACCACCCGCTGCGCACACAATTCTGATCGGTGCATGTGAAGGAGTGCATTTATGATATTGTGTGGTGCGATTGGACAGGTCTCTGAGCATTGTTTGCCTGTTCTAAAGAGCTTCGAATTCGACTTCTCCCTGTAGTTTGTAAGGAGGCAATGGACATAGAATTCGTCAAATTCTGTGCTCCTTAGTTGGAACAATGGGCTCACGCTTTGGAGCGCAGAGCCCAAAAGATTGGAAAGCGAAAAGGAACATTGGCAGCGAATGTTAGAGGGGAGGGTCTTGAAAGGAAGCTTCCATTTGTTTGCGGAAAAACAACAGGAGAATGTGATTTTGTACATGTTGCGATAGCTGAGTTGTATCATGGCACATCATGCAGTAGGGTGTGGTGCAGCTCAAAATTAGGTGTTACGGGCGGATTCTATTTTGAAAATGTAAAACAAAAATCAAGAATTTCAAAGAGGCGTGCTGGGCGTTGCATGTGCTCTTTGGAAAGGGGCAAGTGACCAATTAGCAATGTCGATAAACGCTGCCTGGCACACAATAAAAATAACGCGGTGTGTCAAAATAATAGAATTTTGAGAAACGTTTTTCTGTTGTGCGGAGATTCAGGCAATGCATTGGGACACCTCCACGAGAAGCACAACAACCTTGTGAGATACATTGTTTCGGAAATTCAAAAGCACTGCTTGTCAAGGAGCGGCGACCGTGACTGTCAGGTTAACCGAACGCTCCCACGCGCTCACACATGGTCGCTCCCAGGCACGGGAAGCGAGGCCGCAACCATATGCGTTACAGGATGAGTGTATCGACTAATTAAAATCACTGCAATATTGTCCACTTCCCCACATCCATCGTTCCCATGTACATTCAACACAACACCATGTTCACCATATTTACTTTCCACCACAAAAAATACACCATATATCATATATCAACCGCTCCCTCGCCCTGGCAATGATGTTCATGCTTCCTTGCCTCTTTTGACTTGTCAAGACTTCCGCTGCAGTTGCAATTGCAAATGGTTACAAAATGGAGCATCAACATTTTGCTCTAGTACATTCGACTTGAATAATAATGACAAATGGCTGGCATGTTGTCAACCTCAATTTCCAAGGGTATTATTAGAATATGTTATTATCATTTGCGGATACGCTTAAGCAGGCGTGTATTTCGAAGTGAAGACCAACATCTTGCAACTAGAGTCAATGTCTCAAGGCTGGAAGAGCACTCAACATTCTTGTTGGGTTGTTCATTTCTGAATACAATGACAATTAAATAACAACTGCATTGTCGATAAATGGGAGTATGAGAGCATTGCACCTCGATCCTCCTGAACACCATGGTGGCGGGATAATTTTCTCTCCCAAGCCGGCCCGTAACTCTTCCCGTCTTTTGGGGCCCTCACTCGCCCAGCCCCCTTCCCGGAAAAAAAAAGGACGAAAAGAATGAAAAGGACGCGTGCAGAAAACAGTTGCAGCTGGCCGCGCCTGGAGTACGTCCCAGCTGCCAGAAGGACGCCCGAAAGCCGGCCCGGCCGCGGAGCAACGCGGCTAACCGCGCGTGGGACGCCGCCGAGTGGATAGGATGCCCATGATACCACTCGAGAGGACTGTCACCACGACGGTGGACGGCGAGAGGATGGACGTCGCCAAGGCGAGGGCCCTCAGCAGACGTAATGAGTACCCTGCCAGTGGCTGGGCCAGCCTTTTGGGTCAACCCTGGGATTCACGTCCACGGACATGACGGCGTTGAACGGCCACTCCCTCGCATCCTTACTTTGCCTGGGATTTCCTTTTGTCCGGGGCGCCCTCAGTCCTTGCCCTCTGCCTCGAACACTGTGCGGCCAACTGGGCAGTGGCGCTGGTGCTATCCAGACTTGCGCCGCGCCTTTCCGAGCAGGTGTCCGACTTGGAATCTCGGTGTGCGGGGGAGGGGGGGCTGATCCGCCGCGATTCGTGCGGCTGTGTTCGCACTGTTCCTTGCAGGCTTCGCGCTGTTGCCGTGGATGTGGATCATGAACGTGTGGCTTTTCTGGCCCGACTTTCGCCACGGCCACGACCCCGTCGTGCACAAATGTAGGTGCCTGCCCCCGCGGCGCTCTCCGCTTCACGGCTACCTGATGCTGATTGGTGTGCTGTTTGCATTTCGACGGTTGGTGCGCAGTTTGGACTTTCGGAGGTGTCCAGCAAAGTGAGGGAGGCACTGCGAGTTTGTCCGCCTCCCTCCGCCGTTGTCCTTGCACAGCGCTCCCCGATGCCGGCCTCATGGCGCTCCTGCGTGATTCCCCAGTGTTTGTCTTCACATTGTGCACCAGTGTTCGAATTCACACCTCATCAAGGAGCACCTGTGAGTTCTGTGGGGCCATTGAACCGCGGTTTCAGCATTCCTGCCAGAAGGGTTGAGGCTCAGGTTTGGAGGCATTTTGAGCCCAAGTCATTAAAAATTGCTTGCCGAATCCACCATCGCAGAGCTGGCTGTGCTCCGGTTGCCATTTTTCTTGGAAGACCAGTGTCGCTTACCCAGTCCACGCGTCTGGTCGCAGACACACAGAGGTCTCTGGTGGGATTCGTCGTCGTGTCCCTCGTGTTCCTGCCATGGATGATCATCTACATGATCGGGCAAGAGGCTGTGGTGGGCAAGAAGCTTTTCAACAAGCTGGATGTGGCACAGCTAGATTTGTCAGACTACGGACTTGCCTTTTAGCACAGATTGAGCCATTGTCTTGTTGGGAGGACTATTGTCTGCATGTCCTTGTAAAACGAGGGCTAACAAACCATGCAGATGCATCCTTGCACATTGAGATGCAGCAACAGCTTCTGGAGCTGTAGGACAGCGTCCCACCTGAGATGAGCTGCACAATGCTGGAAACAGTTCGGCTCTTGTTCCTGTTTATTGTGTTGGACAGCATTTAGCTTTCCCCTAGATCCACCATCTGCTGCAAAAGTGGTAGAACAACGACACATGAATGCACAAAGCACAATAATACAAACAAACTCCAGAACCGGCCTCGTCCATCCAAGCTGGCAACAAACTGCGGGCTACCGACCAGATGCAAGTCGACTGACGAAAGCCCATTCATATCTCCTAAGTCTGCAAGTAATGCAAAGAGCATCTCCAAAATCGATGTGGGGATACCAAGCCCCCACATGCACTTGGTACACAGTCCCTTTGTCACTCGTTGAAATGCACAGCCCCTGAATTGTAAACCACCAAGAAGGTGCCCACCATCAAGCCAAGCATAGATGAGAAGGTACAAAACAACACCTGATGCAGAACACAAAGGTAGCTGTCACAATCTGTGCATTCTCATCAACATTCCTACGACCCCGTCTACTTTTCCTAATGTGGACCCAGTCCCAGAAGTTCACTGTGTTCGGCAAGAATGTTCTGCTATGTGCTTAGATCTATTTGCACTTCACACTTCGCCCTTGGGTGACATTACATTGGAGACACCACTGTGCTTGACAGCAACGCCTGCAGTGTGCATAGACGTACTGGCAAACTTTGCAGTTGATTGACGTTGTCATAACAACACAAGGTGAAAAGCCCAGCTGATGCCTGCTGTTGCAAGTGCCAGGCCTTGTCGGCATCGTTCCCCATCTCCAGTGAGCTGCAGTCTGCACACTGCCCTCTTATGCTGCCAGGACATCTAACCAGTGCTGCCACAAAGAGCGCACATGTGGAAGCAGATTGATGGTTCCAACACACAACCAAATATGTCAATCTGCACGCAAGACTCTGTCATGGCGGTTGTGCTGGGCACACTGTCATTCATATTGTGCTGACACCAACTCTTGGCACATCACCAGAGACAACCTAGGCCACGTGTGCAAACTCAGACAAATGAAGCCAATATTGCCTTTCACCTCATGTATATGTTAGGTGTACAAAGCTTCAGGCATCTCCATCAGTTAGGCCCTTGCAAATTATACATACAAGTATGGAAACCAGTATTCCCCAGGCCTGGCTTTCCAATTGCCCATTTCAGGTCATGGGGTTTCGGGACTGCCAAAAGTCAAGGGCTTGGGTGTGCCATTATGCTGCATGATTCTGTTAGACGAACTGATGCATCAAACATGTCAACACGGTATGACCACACAATGCCCACACAGAGTGCAAGAGTATCAATCTGTTTTCGCTATGACCCAAATTCATATCACAATTGCAAGTTCAGATGCCAGCCCCATCTGAACCACAGATTTGTATGCCACCTGACAACAAGTGCTCGTGACTGAGCGATGTTCAGTCTCAAATAGGAGTGGTTTGATGGCCCAGGGGCTTCTTCAAGCCACTTTGAGTTTTAGCACTTTATGGGACTCCCCAGACTTGAGTCCTAGTAGTAGACCCCAAGCACGCTAAACAAGGCAGCCAACATCCACTAACAACAAACCTGCCATTTTTCAAGCAGCCTGGACACTCTCGAGCGTGCTTACCACTTGGGTGAGAGTGATCTTCTTGACAAAGGCCCACCAGGGCTCATCAGACTCATTCTTCATGTCCTCTTTCCCCGTCCCACTCTCGGGCATGCCGAATGGGCTGGAAGAAGAGCCCGGGCCAAAGGGGTTGCTGCCAGACAGTCCTGGTGCTGAGAAAGGACTGGAGCGAAGCTTGAAGCTTGCTGCAGCCTTCGAAGAGTCGGCTGCACAACACAATCTAGCCTGTCACCAACTTGAAATCCTAAAGTAGTGCTTTCGCCAACTCTGACCAAACTTGTGAAAAGAGTGACATTACGTGGTAATCAACAAGGGCTAGTTGACAGCATGGCCCAAAGAAAATGCAGCTATTTCTGTGGTTCCCTGCACAGCAGTGGCAGAACCTAGCCAAAAGAGAGCAGAATGATTGGTCATTTGCATTCCAGTCCTACAAGGTCGCAGCTGCTATTGCCCCCCGTGTCAAGCCACCAAGCACGTTTCAAAGGGGCATGCTTCCGAGGCACTCAGTTTTTCACGGTTCTTAGCTGTGAGGTTTTCAAGGCGCACTTGCAGATGAGGGTTCCCTGGTGGAAGAAGATGCTCCGTTTCCCTGATCTTCTGCCTTTTTGCCTCCTTCCGCCCCTTCCTCAAATTCCTCTTCCAACAGCCGCTCAAACCCCTTCCCAGAAAAATTCGCACGGTCACGGTTCACCAGCCGCTTGACCTGTGCGGCCCCCTCATCAAAGGGACCTCTGCTTGAAGACCCTAAAATCATCAAAAGCAACAGAATACTGTTGCTGGTCACCGACATCCATATTACTCACTTTGCATTCCTTTTCTGGCACTCAAGGACCCCTCAGATCCTGTTCTAATAGGACACAAAATCCCAGAACAGTATTCAGTGGGGATGTGGGCTGCATAGATCATGTGGTTCGTACGGACAAAGTCAGCACTCCTTCTGTTGAGTGATTCCAAGATATTGCCGCTGAGGGAGGGTGCAAATGTTCCCAGCACAGGCCCACCGTGGACAAAGGAGAAGTAAAACATACGGTGGGCATTCCTGCCCTCAGATACGAGAAACATTTGCACGTCGCCAAGGCGACGCTGCAACCTACTACAGCTGCAGAAACAGGCAACAACGAACAGTGTGTGGAAGAAGAAGGGATGTGCGGTGGGAAGGGTTAGGCTCGGCTGGGGGCCTGGGGCCCAGGGGTGGAGATATGTCCGCTTGGGCCCTAGAAGAGAGGCTAGCTTGAATTAATATGGAGCGACGCACAAGAAAATTGAGTTCTACCTCCCGTTGGAGGGCCTGCCGATGGCATGCACAAGGAATGGGCGCAGCCGCAATGCAACAGTGCCCATCGCCATGGCACCAATCGCGTCGCCGACGCAGTGCAGAGCTGCTCCAAAACGGTGCTCCGGGCCGTTTGAATCGCCGTGGGTGCCTCACCTTGTTCCCCCCGCACCCTGACCGCCATTCCCCTTTGGCCAGCTCGGCACGACTTCCTCATGGGCAGTGCCGGGTGGCATCTGCACGCGCCCTTGGCGGAGGAAGAAGCCAGCTGAGCGTGCGAGGCCATGGGTGCGCGGGGGACGTGGACCCTGCTCTTTGCTTGTGCCTTGGCGGTTTCTGTGAGTGCCACTGCGAGGCAGGCGTTCAAAGCGCAACACCAGGCCAGGGACGAGGGAAGGGCCATGGAATTAAGTGCGTTCATTGGCTGTATGATGGGCTTAATGCAGTATCACTTGGTGGGTTGATATTGGTTGTCTCTTGGACAGCCGTTGCCTTCCCTTGCGCCGCTCGAAGCGACACCATGACTTCGGCGAAGGGAATCGGCATCCCGATCAAACTGCTGCACGAGGCGGAGGGCCACGTCGTCACGGTGGGCCCTCGCCTGCTCGCGCCGGCTGCTGCTGCGACCGCTGGATCGCGGGTCGGCGGGACGGAATCGTTGAACTGACTTTTGCCTCTCCGGGTGCAGGTGGAGCTGAAGACTGGTGAGACTTACAGGGGGGAGCTCTTCGACTCCGAGGATAATTGGAACGTTCAGCTGCGGGACGTGTCGGCAACATCACGGGTGCGGTTCGCTGCTGATTTCCGCGCAAGAGCTGTGATGGGAGATTTTGTGGAGTGTCCCCTGCCTGTTGCTGTGGGAAATGGAGTGGAGAAGAACTTCGGGGGCAGGTTTATCCATGATAGCGTTACTTCTTGAGCACGCGAGGGACAGCCAGACGCACGTAACGCAGAGTGCTTCCAGTGAATGAGCAAATTTGCAGGGATGATGAGCTGCAGTGGCAGATCTTCGTGTGATCTTAAGGAGGGAATTCAGGGCTTCCCTGTGCAGCTTCAAGGGGGTCGCTTCGTCTGCAATTTGGGAGGAGGGGTGTGATGTTCCCATCCTAGGTTCTGCCATGGTGCTATGAAAACAGAGAAGCCGTGGGACCGCCTGGCATTTGATGTGTCGAGATGTCCATTTCATTTGTCGAAGTCTCTCAATCCTTCGTTTTCTGCAACCGCACTGTAGCAGGAACCCCAGGATGTAACAATGCAAACGTGCAAAGTGCACCACTGTCAACTCTGGGGTGTGTTCTCAGTGGCACTCATGTCAGTTCCCATGTGGCCCTGGTGGCATTTCTTGCCTCAAGGCAGCCCACGGCCAGCGTCGAACATTGTGAATGCTGTGTTGTGTCTCTCAATAAAGTGTGGCCTGCAGGATGGTCGAGCAAGTCACCTGGAGCACATATTTGTGCGGGGGAGTCGAATCAGGTGTGGACCAAGTGTGCCTCCAATGCAATTTGGAAATCGTCATGTAATAGGATGCTATCAAGGACGTTCAGGCAACAGCCTGTGGAATTTCTCACACGGCGTCTGTTTCCTTCTTGAAGACACTACATCTCCCTTAGCAGATCTGGTATTGCTCTTGTCCCAGTGGGGTGTTGTTGGCATGCATATAGCCAACTCTTGGCTGGGCCTTGTGCTCATACCAAATCATGAAGAGCCAGCGAACGTGTTATTGGGAAGGCCAAATGTTGCCCCGTTCCCAGCAGTCAAAACGCGGCATCTGGACTGCCTATTTGGTTGATATTGGGGTTGTGTGGTCATGACGGTGTTATTTCGTGTGTGCAGGTTCCTGATTGTGCCTGACATGCTGAAGAATGCGCCGATGTTCAAGCGAATCGACCCAAAGAACATTGTGAGTTGCCAGCACAAATTGTGACTTGTGGCACATTGGATCTTGTTGGTGGAAGGGTAGGGGTGGGAGAGCGTTCGCTGGAGCATGGCAGTGTCCGAGATACTTGCCCTACGACCCTAAGCATTGTGTCCATGGGGGGTGGTTTATGTTACTGTCCCGATGCTGCCTGTAGGAAGTCAGATTAAGTCCTGCATTGTTCGTTAGTTCCATACTCCTGTTGGACAAATTGTCTGACTGGATTGTCATGCTTAAGTGATTTGTGTGAAGCAACACAGGGTAGATGCACGAGCATACCGTATTGTGACATAATGTATTTGTGATATGTGTGGCAGTGTTGGATCATGACTTCGCGCAGTATGGTAGACTTGTGACCAACCACTGATGCAGCCAGGCTGACTCGTTTCTCTTGCTGTCCCTCAGCACAAGAACATTGCCATCGGGGTGGGCGGACGTGGGCGTGCGGCTGCGGCAAGGGCGAAGGCGAAAGCCAGCCAGCGGTGATGCTGTCAGGCACAGCAATTGTTGAGGGTTTGGCACCCTTGACTCTAAGTGGATTCTGATCAGGCTTGTGGTCAAGTTACGGCCCTGGTGCTGAAGCAGCATCCTGGTTGACTTGCCGCCCCAAACAGCGTAGGGGCATTAGAAAAGGGGGGAGGGGAGCTGCAGCCTTGACGAGTTGTCAAGAAGACACCAAAAATTTGGCCACTAAATGGAGCTTGGATGGAGCTTGGATTGTAGGTAGTTTGGCATTTAAATACGAGAATGACACTGTTGATGGGTGTACAAAAGTGTGACGCACACAGTCACGAGGCGTGCAAAAACAGGGCCGTAGATACGTCCCGAGTTCTGCGACCCTAGACCGACAGGATGCTGGAGCCCTGAATCGCTAGCCATGATGTCCTGTATGCCATGGGCAGGTTCTGACAGAGGCAAGGGAAGCAAGCACGTTGGCAGCCAGCCTGCGTCCTGCCCTTTGCCATGCATTGTTCGTGCAGAAACCTGTCCACATATGTTTTGTGACCACCCATTGTCGGCGGTAGTGTTAGTGGGGCAGAGCCCGTCCAGATACCTCCCAGGGCGCAAAAGGGCATTTGGTTATGCGCATGACCTTGAGCACACGGCTTCACAGTATCCAATGCTCAACGAGCAGCGCTGCTTGTCATCACCATAGGTCGCAGATGACACATGGCCCCGCTGCACTAACCCACAAGAACGATGACAACATCACAACAACGTTGGAACTCGATTACACAGCGGCCGCAAGTCATGGCCTATCCTCCATCTGCGACCAGCCCATTGTGCCCCCAGCTCCTCTGTTGTTCCTCGTGCAGCCCAGGGAGCGAAATACGGACGCTGCCCCTGCCCAATGACCTCAAAGCTGCTGCACGCCCTGCTGCCGCTCAAGGCGACAACACACACTGTGCACTTTGCTGTCAAGCCATTGCAGGAGGAAGTAGATCACTGTGCATATTCTTGGCACCCTGCAGAGCACAGGGATGAGAATCAGCTCAGTGGTTGAGATCGGTCAAATCTGTCGCCACACTACAGATAGCTGCGCTTGCACATAAAATGCACTGGCGGGCGCTCTCCCTCCACAGCCGTCACACCAGAGACACATTCTTACCTATGGACAATATATTTAACAACACACTGGCTATGTGCAGAGAATACGTACGCAATGGCTCGCTGCCAACACGGACAAAAGAGCCACGCAGTTCAGCAAGCCTGTCTTGTCACCACCGCTCATTGCACAGCGCCTTTTTTCAAATCTTGATTGGGCTGGTGAACTAACGTTTCCTTTGACATCTCCCTCCTGCAGTTTACAGGGCATTCGCATGACACCAAGATCGGTGACACCACCACAGAGGACCGGCAGCACCTTGACACAACCCTATTTTGTTGGGAACAGAAACTGGCTCGATGTTCGGGCCAACGCACGAACGTTTCAGAGAGCACGTGCTGGCGAGCGATGCACCGTGGGGAAATATAGCAAACGTGTACTTACGAAGGGGAGAACATGGTGGCCACGTTCTGCGCAATATCAAGCATCACAGCCTACATAATCTGCGTCCATCTCGCAGTAACAGCAAAGCTGATTGAGGAGGAAGCCCGCAATCAGCCAGCGCGAATCGGCAATCTAGATACTGGATAGAGGAAAGAAAACAGGGCGTCGTACACGAAACATGATCTAACCAGCAAAGGCATATCGCCTGATGAGGTAATGTGCACTCTCAGTGCGCAACAAAAACAACAAGTTCTAAACGGCCAAGGGAGTCGCGCTAACCTCTGCTTTCAAGCGCTCAAGATAGGCTCCTGCCAGTGGCGTCACCACAACGCAGGCACATGCAGTACGGCTGCAAGATGCCGCCCGTGTGGTTCGCTGGAAAAAGTGGTCGCAGCAAGATCAGACCAGAATCTGCACCGCAATTCACAAGGCGCTTTGACCTTGAGATAGATCGATCTCACAATGCTTACACAGACTGTTGGCCTTGGCTGGACACCGTGCCTCACTTGGTCAGCGAGTGGGCATTGTTCTGTTGAACTTCGACAAAAGCATTGAGAGAGGAATTTAGTGCTGGCCGCACTCTGTAATGACCGCTGTGTTGTGGAAGTCCGTTCAGGCCAGTATGAGAGGCACGAGATGGCACTGTCACTGGAGGGGGCTCTGCTATGAAAGTGCCAGTCAACAGCTGTACAGCAGTACTCACCCGGATGCAACCCGCGTGCAGCTGCAGGCCAAACATGAAAGAATTGCAACAGGGTGCGCAGCGGGGCCTCCTTTGCACGCGCCGGCCACAAGCGTTCCCATTGTCGTACATTCAGCGCTTCGCTGTTCCTCGTCAATAGTGCAGACATCCGCCCATCATGAGCGCATTTCGGCGCCTGACAATACCAGCAGCAAGATCAGGTGGCGAGACAGGCAATCACAAGGAAATGGGTATTTCTTTGCGCAAACAGGCACCTGCAGTCAGTGTTGCCAATGCCTTTTCTGATGCAGACACGCTGTCGATGGAACTGGTGACGACGCACCAGGATCTCAGTCGCCATGCAACTGCCACAGAAACTATCCATCAGCCAACGTGCCACATCGAACCCATTTCCTCCATCCCATTCCCCTCCACAATGACACCCACCTTGGAGAGCTGCAGTCGGGTCTTCAGAGTCAGCAGCAAGCGCCGGGTTCTAAAGTTCTTCATGTCCCGGCACTTGGCTATAGTGGGTGTGCTCAGATTCGGCGTCTGCATCTTTGGAAGCCGCATTCGCAGCTGCTTCATGGTCTGCTGGCGGCCCAGAAGGGCCCAACACATTGTCCGCGTCACTCTCAGGGACTCCATCTCCCTGCTCACGGATCAGCGCCTCCACTCTGGCTGTGAAGGCTCGCACTTCCTCGTCGATGCCAGGCCACTCAGCGACGATCCTCCGCGCCGCCTGCAGCTTGGGCTCCTTTGTCATTGGGTTATTGCACAGGTCGATCGTTTTCGCTGCCGGCTTTGTCTCATTCCCGCACCATGACTCGCACCACAACCACTCCTGTGGCAGGGAGAAGATGGGTACAGAATGCTGCGCATAGTTGGGCAGGTCCTGATCCAGGTTTGACAAGCTGTTGGGATCTTTGCTCAGATTCTCGTACACGACACGTAGCTTGTCCCCTGCTGCACTCTGGCGAAACTTCTGGAGGTCCACCACATACAGGGCACTGATGTGATAGGGCTTGCCATTCAAATGGTCCTTCCAGAAGCCCCCTTTCCAGAACCGAAAGCCATCCATCTCCTTGTTGGTGTCACAGAAGGGCGTGTAGGCCAGGGGGGCTCCCTGCAGGTCCATGTCATACAGCTGCCGCATGTCTGTCCGCACGATCTGATCAGCATCCACAAAGATCACCCGCCTGCAGCTCAGCGGAAACAGCACATCCAGGAAAAGGATCTTGTACGCCCATATGATGCGCTGCTTCTCGGTCTGCTTGTTCAGCCACGATGGCCATTTGTACGTCACCAGCTCGTACTCGAAGCCGTACCTTGCTGCCATGTGGGGGAGGAACTGCTGCATCTGGGGTGACATGTAGTTTTTGATCACCCAGAACTTGACACAGGACTTGGTGTTCCTCAACACGCTCAGGATCATGATCTTCTGCAGCCTCTCATACATGTGGCCCGAGGCGATGGTGAATATGTTGATCGGGTCGTCCTCATGCTCGCAGCGCCCAGTGGTATGGCCGGCCAGCTTGACGGCCTCCTTTCCCTTGTCAAGCTTCATCCATGACATGAGGGTACCCCACAGCTGGCCGCCTGCCTCTGCCTGCGGTTCTTCCGGGTCATCAAGAACGTCGACTGCTTCCATGCCCGGATACTTTCGAACTTTCAGGCGCATGTTCCTGCCCTGGAAGCTGTCGATATCTATCTGGATCTTGCTTGCCGCAGGCTGCCCGGGCTCGAACACCAGGTCTCCTTCTGAGGCGTCTGTGCTGACATCGATGTGGTACAGCTCCTTGGTGCGCCCTGGGGCCAGGCTCAGGTTCCAGACGCCAGGAGAGGCCTTCAGCTGAAAGTAGCCCAGGTTCGACATCACCAGTGTGTCGACCATCGCGGGGTGACTTGCATTTCCCAGCGTCAGCTGCATGCCACGTGGGAACAGCTGCTTGCGCGTTTTTGCGGATTTGTCCAGACAAGACCCTGTTAGCAGCAGTGAAGCCAGCCTGTACTCCACGAACACCACCTCATTGGGCCCCAGGTCCTCCATTCTCAAGTTGTCCAAGTCGTAGTCCGCCTGCACAGGCTCGATCAGCCACGCCTCTGGGACGTCAGGATTGAGGGTCAGGATCTTTCCAGTCGGCAGGCTCGAGAAGTAGGACACTGGGGGGAGCACCTTGGTGAGTGCCCCTTCCTTTGAGGCGTCCACTTTGGGCAGAGAGAACCGATAAAATTGCTTCAGGGGCATCTCGGACATGTCCACCGCGGGGTTGAGCTGCACTGTAATCTTGGGTCTGAGAACAGACCGAATGAATGTGAGGATTTCCGACAGCCTCTGCATCCCTTTGGAAAGCGGATTCAGAACTGCTTCAATCTCAAACTCCGGCTCCACACCATCCCCAGTTTGCCACAGTATCTCCATGCCATTCAACCTCTTGAACCCCTGCTGCAGCCTCCCCACCATGGCCCCTGTGTAACTCGACTCTACCGATGTGGAGTGCAAGATCGACGCGATCTGCCACACCTGATCGCTGATCTGCTTGCTCCCAGCGTCCTCATCAGCCTCCTCAATTGCGTACTTTATGGCTTGCCCCATCTGGTAGTCCGAGGCGATCAGTTGCATCGTCACAAAATCCTTAGAATTGAGGTCGCCAGCGTGCGATGACGTCACCACACGGCCATTTGTGACCACTGCGGAACCAGCCTCAATCCCTAAAGCACTCTTGGCCAATTCTGCCCGGCGTTGAGATTCTGCAGAACCAAATTCTCTGTCTGCTGACAGACAGCCCTTGATGTCAACATCAAGCTCAGCGTCTTCCACCAGATTATGCACCTGAGACAGAGTTTCAGAGTCGCAGAGGGCAGCCCACAAACTTCGATCCTTGCGCAAGCCCTGCCAGACCACGGCCAAATCTTTTGTGGGAAGATTCCTTGACGTGGCATCCCATAGTGTGCGCAGGGCAGGAGTGCTTTCGGCACTGTTCCAGGGCAGGAATGCAACCCGGCTGCTTTTGCCACTGCTCCCAAACACAAAGTCCAATCCGGCTTCGAAGAGTCTCAAGCCCTGTGTGGTGCCAAAATCAAGGGTCACCAGCTGTGTGGCCACCTTGGGAGTCTCTTCTGTTCCCGGATGGTGAAGGAATGCCAAGCTTTGAAAGAACTCACTGCTGACATTCACTATCACATGCTCTGCTTCTTCACCTGGACCCATGGGCAGCACATGTGGATTGTACCTTTCCAAGGACTTCTCCAAACGAAGGATCTTGGCAAGGAGGTTTTTGTCTTGTTCCGATAGTTTGCCATAATATATGTGTTCCTGCAGGTTCTGCATCTCCATCAGTGCATAGTGCATAATGACAGCCCTGGTACTTGAGTCTCCTATTTCAATCATCTGGCCATTCAGCCACATCGTTGGTGTGTCCACAAAGTGCAAACCCCTCTCAACAGCAGCCTCCATGGCTGTTTCGACTTGAAGGCTGATGCCAGCTGCCATTCCAGACCCACTCCTCAACTGGTCCAGCGCCGCTGATGGAGTTACTCGAGACGCAACCTGCCCTTTCTTAGTTTCTGGCGATGCCGCACTGCGTGCCCAGGCCTCCACAAAAGCTCTGCCCAAAATGGGTGACAGAGGTCTTGCAGATTTCATATCATCCGTCCAAAGGCCATCCAACGAAGCCCAGAACTGGAAGGCGGCCTTTGACCCAAAGGCCGAGTTGATCATTCGAAACATTCGCACCAGCTGTTCAGCGTCAGTGAGGGCATCCCAGTCAAGGGGCGCAGCAATGCCGTTCTGCAGCCTGTCCACCACCGTGGGCGCAAGGAACAACACACCGAGTCGAATGGGTGTCAGCCTCTGGTATAGTTCGTACACCACCTTGCCTAGGGCAGCACCAGCCACAGTGGTGGGGTCCACTATGAACATCGCAGTCTGCAGGTTCCTCCCAATAGGGAGTAGATCCCCTGGATAGAACGCATTGAGGAGAGAGGTCAGAGACTTGGGAAAACTGCTGTAGATGCTGTCCTTTTCAAGGTCGTTCAGGAACACGACGTGCTCCTGAGGCAGCACGTTGAAACGGAGGTGCTCCAGGTCTTCTGACCTGTCTTCGGCCCGCAACCTCAGGAAGGGGGCCACTGCCTGTGCACGCACGCCAGATGCCATCAGCAAGACCTTGGCCTTGACCTCTGCCCTGATCCTCTTCAGGAAATCGTACAAGTCGAAGTTGTCTGTGTCAATAGGCATCCCGTTCAGCAGCACCAGCCCCAGCCTCGATGGGATGATCTTCTGGTTGGTGGCCACTGACTGCCTGAGCTTCGTGTCCACAGACAGTCTTGACAGCGACGACGCCAGCATAGGGAAGTTTTGACTGATCTCCGTTAGCAGCTTGAGGGGGTCGGAGGCCTGCAGGATCCGCTGGCTGGCCTGCAGGCCCAGGTCCTTCATGTCCCACACTTTCAGAGTGGTGTCCTGGAGCAAAAATGAATGTTCAAGACAGAAGACAGGTGGCTTGCAGCAGCGGGTAGATTGTCTGCGGATTCTGTCCCTTCACAGAGTTGTGGGCAAAGCGTTGGAGATGCAATCTTCCACTTGGTAAAGGCAGTTTGAGTGTATGGGAGGCAGGAACAGCCAAGCTGACAGAAGACGAGGGCCACATCAACGCAATCCAAAAATTCATTGATTCCTTTTCTTCTTTTCAAAAGCCCCTAGCACGAAAAAGCGTCCGAGGCTTCCTGCGCCCGAACACCCCGATTCCAAGGCCTCCGATCATTTCCCACCTGCGACAGACTGGACTCCAAGTAATCCCTGAACGTCAGCAGCTCCTCCCTCAGCGCCGGCCGCCGCGCCACCAGCACGTCGAAGTCGAATCCCTTTACCGTGCCGAAGCCCGCGCCCTCCTCCGCCGTGGCGTTCGTGTCCCTTTTGGCGTCGTCCACCGCGCTGTACTCCATGCTCTTGATCGCCATCTCCGCTCCGAAGCCCGGCAGCTGCAGCTTCTCCAACGACCCGAATTCCACGCAGGGGTGCCGCGGCTCGCCCGACGCCATGCAGGCCTCGGGCAGCACCGGGCGGTGCGCGTAGGCCACGCCTCCCCCGCTCCGCTCGACGATCGCCTTGATCGCGGCGTGGAACGCGCCGAAGCACGCCGTCCCCGGCGATCCGTGCATCACGATCAAGTGCGCGGTTGCCGAGGCCCCGGGCGATGGGAAGGCGTGATCGAACCTGAGCGGCCGGAGATCCCCTGCGACAATGGCAGAACGCCTCACGCTCATTCGCTCCTTAGGGGGTGCCCTTTGTGTGACATGTTTCCCTCGGCTTCCTTTGATTTGCTTCCTTTCGTTTGCTCCTTTGGACTGTTTTCTTTCGTTTGGCTTGTTCCTTTGGCTTCTTTTGTTTGGTACGTTCCTCTGGTTCGTTTACTTTGACTTGCATCCTTTGGCATGCAATCTCACCTCCGCTGGCCCCGGCGCCCAGCGCGGCATCCAGATCCCCGGGAGAGGTGACGATCGTCCCTTCGACGGACGCCCAGCAGCAGGCCTCCTCCGCCGGGGCCACGGCGTCCGCCGCCCGCCTGAACATCTCCAGCCTCGCGGAGTACTCCCTGATCGCCAGCGACACCGCCAGCACCGACGCCATCCCCAGTGACAGCCCCTCGGCCGCCCGCGCGTGCACCGCCGACCAGCAGCTCTCGGATCCCGATCGATCGTCGGATGCCGGCCAGGATTCCACGTACGCCCAGTACCTCCCGGGATCCTCGGCGGCAAGGAACTCGGCGGCCTCCAGGAGGACGGGCGTGCCGCGCCATCCGGCCGTCAGGGACACGCTGGCGCCGCCGGAGGCGGCCGCGGGCGCGGCGATGCAGGCCAGGCACGCCAGCGCCAGCGCCAGGGCGGTGGGCGTCATGGGGCGGGCGCGGCGCGGAAGGGGCCTGGGGCGCGTGCGACGGGGCTGGGCTGCCGCTACCGCCCGCGCTGACGAGTTTTGGATGTGGAGGGAATGTGGGGATTCGATGCCCGATGCCTGCGGTTCGTTGTGTTCTGGGTTTTTTTTTGAGGTCGGTGCCAATGCACCGGCGGTTCTATACAGGAATGGTTCTCATTGGCTCCCGTGCCACCTTACTAAGACTATGTTTGGCGAATAGCACCAGTGCTATTGGGGGGCAATAGCACCGGGCGTGCATCCGCAACGTTGGATGCCTTGGGGAGCAATAGCACCCCGTGTGCATTCGTAAGAGCATCTTTATCGGTCGGCGCTATTGCACCGGCGGAGTTATCCAGAAACGGTTCTCATTGGCTGCCGTGCCACCTTACTAAGGCGGCATTTGCCAAATAGTGCTGGTGCTACTGCTCCCTTGCGCGCATCCGTAATGGTGAGTGCTATGCCTACGCCGAATAGCATCGCGGCAGCACTAAAGTGTTCTGAGCGAATAGCACTGGGTGCTATTCCGGGGTGCTATTTGGCATCGAGCGGTGCTATTCGGGCCCAGAATAGCACCGCTCGGCGCCGAATAGCATTGGCGGCACTAGTGGGGTGCTATTGCTCCTCACCGTTAATAATGGTTTTTTGACGTGCGGTGATACTCAGATGGCCGAATAGCACTGTGGGGACAATAGCACCAACGGATAAAGACGCTCTAACGGGGGGGGTGCTATTTGCAAGGAAACTCCCACACGCAACATGCTGTGCGAATAGCAGCTTTGCTGGCCTGGGGCGCTAATTGGCCTAGAGCGGTGCTATTCAGGGCCCAAATAGCACTTTTCGATTGCACCCACCGACAAAGATTCTCTTGGAATATCGGTACGCAGATCGTGGGCGCCGCTTTGGTCTAGCACAATAGGAGGCTGACAGGAATCCCCTTGCCTTGTTAGGGAAGACACTATGTCGAATTTGGTACGCCTAGCGTCAATTCGACGGTAGGGCAAGGGGGGGGGGGGGCACCTGTGACGCTAAGAGGTTATGTAATTGACAGAAAGTCGACATAAGGTAGTAAGACACAAGATAACGCTGGTAATCAGTGCCAAACAGTCCACTACTTGTTCCAAGACCTCCATCAAGCATTCAGTCTTGAATGAAGACCCCAGAATACCTCAATAGGCAGTCATCAAAGCAGCCCCAATCAGCCACAATGGCCTTTATGAACCCGACTTTCCAGCCCAGTATAATCTTTGCAATTTTGGCTTTTTATGTTCCTTAAACACACCTTGATATTGTCTAGCGCCGTTATGTAACGTTGTTGAGTCGTCCTGGCATACACATAAGGATTAACGCTAAGGAGAGGGGAGGGGTGACATGGCGTTACAAAGTATTGAGGTGACGCCCCTCCTTTTCCACAAATATTGCAAGCGCTATAGGAGGGAGCCCAGGAACAACACAGGGCACAAACAGGAGAGCGCATTGTTGGTCCGCATTTGACGCTAAGCACAACAAAATCGACATAGCGCCTTCCCTTAGCGTCAAATGGACGATAAATTCAGACCCCCCTCTGGGAGGGGGTTCTGACGTATGGGGGGAAGGGGCCCTCCCCCCTCTATATCATCTCTTCACGACATGCTTAGGAGGGAGTGCCCTTGTATAATCTGTTTCTTCCTCTCTGCAACAAATCTTTAAAACCCCAATCCCGCAGCGTCAATTTGACGCTACTTGGACAAAAATCAACATTCCCTAATGACCATTGTGGGCGATGAGAGCAGCGCCAATGGCTGTCAATTGCGGCATTCTGGGGAATCCCTTCAAGCTTGAACGCTTGAGGGAGGTTCTGCAACAAATGCTGGGCTGTCTGCCACTGATCAGCGGCGTTCTTGAGCATGTTGCCTGTATATGTCGATTTTGTGGCAATCGCATAATCGCTAAGCGCCACAGATTTGCATGATCATTGCTATATGCAGTGGCCTCGAATGATTCCTGCGGGGAATAGGGCCTATGGTTCACCCAACCTCCTATCAATCCACTGCCAATCCACTGCCTGTGTTTTGCAACTGATCCGCATGCCAAATAGTAGTACTGCGCCTGCATTTGCATCCACTTGGCCTAATTCTAAATCACCTAGCCCCTTGATCACTAAGCGCAGTCCCTGACTCTGTCGAACTTCTGCCCTTACCGTCAAGCCTTGCTATGCTCCGCTCACAGTTTGGACCGTTCAGGAACAGGGCCCCTCCAGTCCTTGCCCAGCAAGAACGCAATCTGTTCGAAGCGGTCAGACCCGAAGAACATGCGATCCCGCAAAGGCAATTTGGGCGAATCCCACACCATTGTAGGCACTCCGAACGCGCCCTTCTCCGCGGCCTCCATGGTGTTGGCCTGCACCAAGGGGAAGGATCCGTTACCGCAGCTTATCCGCAGTTTTGCACCCTGCTTCGTCCAGGGGCTCAATTCACAGCCTCTGGCGGAACAAGACGTTCGAGATACCAACGGCTGGTTGTGCAGATGTATGCCGCGCATAGGCTCCACATCAATGACACAGTATGTTGCGCCCTGCGTTTTCCATTTCACGAAGGCAGCAGAAACAGCATCCAACAGAATCGCTGTTGCCTGCATCACCTAAAGTGTTCATTTTCGACCACAATTACACAACGTAACAAGTCGCATACTGGCCTGGAAGGTTGCGTATCGCGCTTAACCAAAACTGCCATCTTTGGTTTCTGCATCTGAAGCACCACCAAGAACGGAAACCAACGGTTACAGGCGATTTACGGGGACATTCACAGGGTCACAGCACATGGGTCACACCTTCAACTTCCGCTTTATCTCTTCAGTCGCCGACACCCGTATCATTGCTTCGGCTTCTTCTGCGCAGATTCCCGAACGGCTGTTGCAAGCACACAGCGATTGTTTGCATGACCTCAGTTGTATAGGAACCCCTGATGATAACATCCAAGACCTCGATTCGTAGTTTGCTTGGAGAGCAACACAGTGTGCGCACAGGGATAGTGAAATGCAGTCATACTCATCCATCCACCTTTGATTGGAAGTTCTCAAAACTGATTGTTGCCCCATGTACAGCAAGTGCAGTTGATGCCGATGGGGGCCATAGCCATCGGTGACTCAGCATGCACCAAGCTTTCCTGTTAGACAAGGCATGCTCTGTTCATGACAACAAATAGAAATCGCTGCGCAATAGAAGGCCAATCTTACATGCAGCACTCCTTCATCAAATCATCATCGACGACCACCTCTGTCCCAGAAAGCCTGCTGTGAAAAGTCGAGAAGAATTCGCGAATCAGGTTCTTGGCTTCTTTACTGTCGTCTCCCTGTGTACCAGTGCAATATCGTCACGGATATCAGGCCTATCGATTCAATCCGACTTGAAAGCTAGGACGCATACGCTAATTCGGGTCCAAAAACCAGGTCCACCCTCAATCTGGCGAGAAAAAAATGTATCGATCGGCAGCCTCAACGGTGCATGTGCTTGTGAGGGAATGCCACGTGGTCCAAATTACTGAACAATCACCACAGGCCACCTTCCTATTTATGTGCAGTTTCAGCACAGAAGTAACGGAATTTGTCAGCCATTAACAATGGTGGGTCCCAATGGGCAGCCCCACTCACGTGTTTGTCGCATGCCACAATGAGCAGGCGCTGAGCCTGATGTGATGTGAACCTGTTAGATGCAGCCATGAAATTGGAAGGCAAGCCATTGATCTTCACTCCAAAAAATGCACTGCTCCTGGCCAAATCTCTGCCATAACCTCGAGCTACACAGGCAAGCTGCTGTTAGGCCACATCATGACAATATGCACTAACGAAGGAACAAATGAGAGGCTGAATAAAGGATTTCCAGCTGCTGGGCAGAGAGTGCAGGGCAAGTCATGAAGGCAGCGCTGAATGGCCTGGAAATGGGCCTGAAAGCACCCATATATTCTTGGGCTCGTTGACAGCAGAGATCAAAGACTACATCCCGAACATGCTGTACTGCTCAGCCGGACTGAACTGGATGCGTCAGCGGATACAGCAGAACGCGGAAGTAATGCCAAGTGGACATGCCATGCTTGTGAGTAACGATGCTGTCTCACCGCGCGGTTTGATGGCAGCTGGTGGAGAATCGTTGCCGATCTTGGCCATTAGCTGAGGAAGATTTATTGGAACATGATGGACTCTCAAGTCCCACAGCCTTTCGTATCTGGGAGTGGAAAACGCATACAGATGCTGAACAAGCGGAATCACAGGACTTTTTTTTATGGTGCCAGAAGCAAGCTTCGCGCAAACGGCTCTCTCTGCACATCGTTTCGCACACAAAAGGCCTGGAATCCCCATGCATCATTTTTCATTCAGAAAAACGATCGAGTTAAATCACCTCACTCCCCCCTGTTGTTGCGACCGCTCTTTGCAATATCATACCCTGCCCTGTTCTTTGCTCAGCACTAAGTTCGACGCCATTTAAGAAAGCCCCAGTGCTTGTTGCTTTCCTCTCAGCCCATTACATCCAACATCCACAGCAGAAACATTTTAAAATCACGATCACTCACTGGGCATCGGCTGCACTATTTTAACTCCATCGCAACACATAATTTAATGTACGTAGGCTTACTTTGCTCCCTTGCAATCAGAAACCCGTCAAATGGCTTGCTACTGATCAGATTCACTGTGTTTGACAAATGGATGGCCAAAAAATCCACAATGTTTAACATGCTGATGCAACTCAGCTCGCAGAGGGATGTAGTGCATGAGGAATGATGCAGCTGGATGACCTGGTTGCGCAGTGCCACCAATTGACGTGTGTAACCAGCTAATCCTCATATCTACAGTTGATCACTTCAGCCTGCTTCTGAACAGCATTTCGACTGCAGCTGTTTCATTGTCGACTGGCATTAATTTCATTTTTTATGCAGGGTCCCCATAATTGGCGTTCAACTGCCAGCCTTCTTTCTTTGGCAAATCCACCCCATCTGCATCCAGGAAGATCTGATGATGATGTGGATGATGGCAAAACCACTGTGCCAACAGTGACTTGGGTATTGTTGGATGGAATAAGCATTTACCTGGTGCCTTCACAGTCCCTAATGGGAATTGCCGCTGATGGGCCTGCAGAATGCTGACCTCTTCAACGCGGCTCAAAATCTGAGCCTCAAGCGTTGTAGACTATTCCCATGTGTATTATAAGATGGCCTAAGATCCTGCCATAGGTGCTGGGCAATGCATATCAAGCACAAATTTTCGCTTGTTTCATTCCCATTTCGTGTATGAACCCAACAGCTAGCTGCCTGTTTAACCTTCTTTCCTTTTGTGTTCAGTCGACAGCAAATGGAATAGCTTGATTGTGAGAGGTGCACGTTGATGTGCCAAGATCAAACACTGATGCAAATCCTGCTGCCCTTTCCATAGCATTCGGCTGTGCTTGGCTGAGCATGGCTGACAACGCAAGCAAAGGTGCCAGGATTGCGCTGCATTCGGTTCCAAACCACCAAACTGGCTCCTGCGGCTCGCTGAGTGCATTGTATCTTGCCATCCTTGTGTCCCACACTGACGCTCAAAACCTTGTCCAGTTTAGAGGGATGACAGAAACATTCTTGTTTGGTTGGGACGCGTCCACACCGCGGGCATGCGCATCGGGCGCCGAGGAAGCAGTCTTGGAAGTTGTCCTTCTGCCTTCGCGACTTGGGAACGTAAATGGCCAAGCGGCATGAACCGCGATGCGACCAACAGCCAAGTGCACACCCCATGATATTCACGCCTTTGAAACGCTGCCCACCCGAGAGGGGTGAGTCGAACGAAGCCGTGCAAAGAGACACCAAATTGGGGCGAGAGATGGCGACAGGTGGGCGATCACGACGGGTCTTTGCCAGCGCCGCGTCCCCAACATGGCCGAGTTGGACGTCCCGGCAGCTGTGCTCGACTTGCCTGCACAGGACCTCGAATGCGAGCCAGGAGTAGGGGCTAAGGGTGTCGAAGTAGAACCACACGTCCGTCGGGCGTGCGGCCGCCATGCCGGCTGCCCGTGGGGCAGCGTTGCGGCTGTGGGTGTTCGCTGGCAGCAACTGGATGCTCAACAAGTCTGTCCGCCATTTGTCCGCCCTGGGGTCGAGTTGGTCGTAGCGCAAAGCGCCCGTGTGCTTGCGTGGCTTGCTATTCACACATTAAGGCAAAAAGGCATGGTCATGTGCTGTATCCTGACCGGTCACTCGTTCGAGAACATATTGAGGATCCCTTCTTGCGCTGACAAGGCCACCGTGGGTCAGTGGGTCAGTGGGTCAGTGGGTTAGGGTTTAGGGTGTCGAAACGAGAAGGGAGCTCCACGGAAAAGACCGAGCGATTACTGTAAAATATTAAACCCTTCCGCATCAGAAAATTTCACCGTTATGGTTTTCTCTCCGCATTCTGCTTCTCAGAGCGTAATTGTTTTTTTACGCTGCTCTGCGCAGAAAGGCCAAATTTCGCGTTACTATTTGTATTGTTTTCCCCGCCAAAAAAGGCCAAGCATTACGTTACTATGCGGAAGGGCTTAATATTTTACAGTAATATCATGCCTCGCTCGTTGCAGCCCACGGTGTCGCTTATTCGCCCGTCACACTGGTGTGAGGGGTTCCCCTCGATGTTGCTCATTCAAGTCGTGCACACCATCGCGCTGGCTTATTCAACCCCGCGTTCGCTAACAGGCAGGTGATCGCCGGACATCACGACGTCATCACACCCCACCTGAGCGGCGTGCAATCCGTGTCGTTGTCTTTTCGTCGACACTCCAAAGCTCCTTTGTAGTCAGGGCACCTTAAATCCCAAAACAGAAGTACTGAGAGCGTCAAGCCCTAACAGAGAGGTTGCAATGTCAATGAAGTACGTTAAGCTCGTCTGGACGTGGCTGGAAATTAGGTGCATCAATCTGATGCTGGCATCATTTCGATGATACAAGCAGTCCCTGCCTTTGCAGCCTCACTTTCGTTGGTCACAAAATTGGTGCCGGCTTTCAGCGTGGATATCAATTCGGGCACGACAAGATACTGGCAGTCTCTGCACCTCTCAGAGCAAAACATTCGTCAGTGCAGTTCAGGTGCATGTTTTCGAATGCACAGTTTCAGAGGAGTTCATCGGATGCTGTTGGAAGACTCCTCATGCGTCAGGTTGATCCCACCCACTGCTGCTCAGAGTGTGACATAAGGTGCAGTCGACATGCGCACCAGTACTGACACAACGCGATTTCTGTGCCATTTCAATGCACAACATCTCCTTGTGCACGCCACAATAATAAGAGTTTAGGCCATTCACCAGGATACACTATGGATGCATCGAAAGCAGTATATGCAATGGTGCGCAGCGCCCAGTAATGAATCATCCATTGCAAGCAACTTCGACCCAATAGTCATTATCAAAATGCTCGTTCCATCGCGCCAGCATGCTACCTCTAAGCAAAACAAAATCCACTTCCCATCGCCCACCCGCCGATGCTAACTGCCTAGCTCCCTCCTGTGTAGCCACTGGCCGCAAGAATATCACAAAGAAAGGCAGAAGCACACAGGCACCCAACAGCATGGCAGGGCACTAAGAGCCTCAAAATGCTACCTAGCTCAACGGACACCCTCGTGAACTGAGGAATTTTGGCTTGCTGCCGGTGCCAGCAGGCACCACCCAAAGAAGCTTGTCTCTGCCTGAGTTTCGCCAGGCTGCAAATAAATCACGCTCAGTGCACATCCACACCTTGCCACCCCGCAAGGTGGCACTCCTGACCTAGCGCCCAAGTGTGGCAGCTGAGGACTGAAGCTGCATCCTTCCATAACCAGAGGCCGATCAGGGGTCGATTCAGTAAAGACGAACCACATGCCTCCACTGCTTCCTGTCGTGAGCATGTCGCTAGCAGGAATCGGAGGCATGGACCACTGCACTCTTGGCAGTCAAAGAGACAACAGCCGCCTGAGCTCTTGCACGTCCGCAGGGTTTTTGCTGAGAGCCTCCTCCAGCTGTCTGCGCACCCGCCTGTGAGCACACAAAACAGGACAACTCATTCTCACCTTTCAAAAAGAATCAAATAGGCCCAGGAGTTGCCCCACCAGTGCTATGCAGTTTGTAGTCTTCTGGGAACCACTGGTGAGCTGCAGGACTCCGCCATCGACATGTCATCCAACAGAGGAACATCAAATCATCACTTGTGTCATTCATTATGCTGCTGGAGAAGATGGTGAGCAAGGCACAAGCTGTGCTGTAGCTTTGCTCAACCTGCTAGCGTATGCACATCGCAAGTCCACTCCAAATTTCCAGATCCTGCATACACATATGACAGTGCATGTACTGGCAACCCACAATCTGTGCTAGCTGCCAGTACCATTACAGTCTAGATGGTACGGGTGTCTGCTTACGCCATGACCGTTGGGAACTCCATGTACGACGCCTTCATCTCCAGCCATGTCGCATCCAACAGCTCAAACGTCACCACGTACACTTCCTCAAAAGCATTTTCACTTGTGTCCTGGATGACCAAAATATGACGGTTGGCAGCCACAATGCACAATCCACAAGTGCCAAGCGTGGGCTTTCTCTTTGATTACAAATATTGTGTCACATGTCAGAGCCCAGATGCCACACCCATTCAGACAAAGAAATATAGGCTTTTCCCCATCTGACAAGAAAGTGCAAGGCAATGCGAGTCCCGAGAAGGTTCTATGCGCAACCGCATGCCCATTCTCGAAGTAAAGAAGTTTGGCACTGTGTGGGAGCCCTGGCAGATCACAAATCACACCAAATCGCAATGGTTTGTTTGCTAGTTTGAAAGAGCAAACAGCATGGGCTTCAACACGCAAGCAGGCATTGCAGACATCCCTGCAACTCGCCTTGATATGCCACATGTTGAGTATCACAAGCAAGGATTCGTGTCAGACGTCCATGTAAAGGCAGAAAACAGAGGATACGACAATGCCAAGGGGTGGGGTCAGAATGAATGGATCGATCAATGTATCCATAACACCAACATCGAGTGACACACTGGTGACGTGCCTCCAATATACAAAGTCATTCAGACAGCAACTTGGCTCCCAGCAATCTACAGGGACATCACAATGAGTGACAAACAGAACTTGCTAAGCCCCACGTCATAAGCGATGGTGGAGCAAGAAGATATGCATCCAGGGGCATCCACTGCACAGTGTGGATGCACAACTGCTTGTCCGACAAGCATGAAAGGTGCAAGTGCCCATTTTTCAAAGGGGATGTTACTGCCACCATTCTCACCAGCAGCTTTAGGAAGCCCCGTCCAGAGGAGGAAGATGGCGGCTGAGGCTCTTTCCTCAGATCCAGCGATTCTGGGCGCCACAATGCCATGCTCAGCATGATCTCCCTCACAACTTGCCTTGTTCGTCTGGGAGCCAGCATGCTGCAAGTGTTGCCCCAAAGCCCTTGACAGCTTGAAGAATGGCAGCAACAAACACAAAGAAGCTTCTGTCCCTGGTAACAATTACTACCAACAACAACACCTGGATAGTTTGGAAGTCCAGGGATTCGAGTACTTGAGAAAATGCTGATAATGTCACGATCGCCATTCCACTGCCACAAATTTCTGCAGACAGCATAGAACAGAAGTGTGTCCAGAACAGGGACAAGTGAATGAGCAGACAGACAACACAAGCAGCACAATGAGTGCCCACCAGTGAGGGTGAAAGTGACGTTGACGCCTGCAACTGCAAACGGGTACTCCCAATCTGATCTTTGACCCACTGTCTTGGTCATAAGTTGCTGGAATGTGTCCCTGTTGTCCTCAGCCAAGTACAGAAGGTTTTGCAGCGCGAGGTACCCACCGCCCCTGAAGTCAGTGCCTGGATCTTCTCCCTGTTGGCATCATGAAATTGTCAACATTTTGCAAAGGGCATGCTGATTCGTTGGTGTTTGTGTATGAAGCTAAATCACCACATTCAGCGATACTGTGACTCTGTACAAACACATTTCCATCCAGTGCTAAATCTTGGACAGGGTTTCTGACCAGTCTGTCTGAACACTCTGCACGACTGGCCAGGCACCAGTTTGCAAGCTGCCGCCCATCTGACATTTTTCAAGTGATGTCCTGCTCTATGAGTGGACTCCTACTGAACTCAAAGCCGTCGCGTGGATGGTATTCCTCCAATTGTGCAACAGGCAAGCAGCAGATCAAATAACAACCATGTCAACACTGCACTGTCAAGAACTGGACATAAACTGCAGTGCAGTTCCCATACTGCAACAACACTGGCTGCACAAATTTGCATATGAAAATCAAATATCACACTCAGAGTTGGCAGTTCAAACAAGAATGGCCACAGATGAAAGTGTTTACAAGCAAATGCTGCAACCTTTAAACAATGGTGTCGCACTAGCATGCTACCTGCCATCCCATTTCCTTCCATTGAGGCGACCTGGACCCACAGTACTCCATCTCAGGGAAACTTGCTCGCCACAGCCTTTCCAGTGCTTCCTGTATTCATGCCATTACACAAGCACGGGATTCACCCGATCAGTAAGCCAAAAGCCAAACAGGCATCGACAGCCAGTCCAGGTGTTCATTTCTAGTGGCCAATCAGCAGCACATGCACATTTGAAGCAACGCATCTTGATTTGGAAGGGGACAAACACAATGTCCAACTGTAAAACACTGTCTGGCCACCAGTTCTGTGTACCCATCATTGAACATAATGTTTGGCAAAATGTGATTGGTAGTACTGCTATAGTGGCTGACAAGAAGGACATTTGTCTTGTGCATATGACAACCTTAAACAGTCTCCACAAACTGGCGAAGCAAATTTCTGCATGTGTTCTATTTCAACAGATTGAAGGCCCTCTTTGATTGCTGCTGTCCAGTCCAATAAAATGAGCCCAGGACCCTACTATATATGGGCCGAAATGCCAATTTGCAATCTGCTGATGAAGTGATCCTGACCTTAGCCCCCTTTCCACTCAATAAACAAACAATGGGCTGGCAAGAAAACCAGGAAAGGCAGCAAAAATCAGCACTGGCACATCGACTACAAAGCTACCTTCATGTGCTACCTCAGGACAGTACTGCCTCATGATGCAGTGCCCTAGTCAGTAGTGAGGAGATCTGATCATTGTTCTGAACAGCTGTGTCACAATGACGTAACTCGCCTGCTGTTCAGGTTCAGAGGCGTCGTAAGGCAATTTGATTCGTTGCCAAAGACTCCTGAGTCGCCTTCCCTACCACACCACAGCGATCAACTGAACATCCTGTTGACATACAGAGCCGCACTGACTCAATGACATCATCCTCAACAAAGTCACCCAGCCAACACAAAGATCACCACCTGCCATGTTGTCACAGCCAAGTTGTCACAGCTCCGTCAAGGTGACCAGTTGTAATATTAAAAGCAGCTAATCGATAAATACACAAACGGTCCATTGTTTAAATTAAGTAAATAAATACCAAAGTACGCCTGACCACTGCCACAAACAGCAAGTACAACGCAGCCCATAATGTGCAAGTAAGCAGGCGTCGGGCAGGTCCAAGGAGAAATGTTGAGGACAAAAGTGTTCTGAAGCAAGAACAGATCGAAGCAGCCTGTGCCAACACTCGCAGACAGGATGCGCTTTTAAGCTCAAAGACGATTCACCACTGCAAGAGAGCAGCATCAATTCGATGAGTAGCAGCCACCTACCTGGACAACCGTCAGCTGGGGCGATCGATCTGGAAATATCATCGACAAGGAGCCCAACAGAGCAGCTGCAAATGCAGTCGGCACACATGCATACTGTGAAAATCAGAAATGGGCCTGAATTGCTCTTGCCAGGTGGGCTTGCCCCTGTTTCCAGTCCAGGAGAGAAACTGGCCCGTGCTCAGGCAATTAGATTCCAGGTGTGAGCGGAAAGGTCACTTGCTGGTGTGGCATTGAGGCATTGTGCCAAGTTAGCTTTGAACCACCTTGCAGTCTGAGACAACAATAACAGACCTGTCCTTGAAATCCAATAATACCTTGCCCAGCGAAAATGAGACCATGTGCGCCCTGTTGTCTACAACATTCCTGAGACGACAGTCTGCACAGGAAGGAGCTGCCGATAGCATGCTCTGTGCCTTTTGACTGCATCAGCCAGTGGCGCTCCCTATTGCACTAGTCCCTTCAAGGTCAGTTCGGACTCGGACACAATTTGATTTCCATGGCGCTGGCAGCGACAACTCCCTCTTTATTTTTGCGGGCACCCTGTCTTTGTGGCAGATATCGTAACCTTATCCCACCATCTGCTGCCAGTTGCTGTGCTGGTGGAAAACGTCGGGATTTCAGGTTATATAAGGTCGGAGGCAGCAATGCATTCTCACTGCACAGAGCAGACAGCGCACCTATGACGCAATTGCAGGCGTCTACAATCGCCTGAATGAGGGCCTGCAGCGGCCCCTCATCCTTGCTGTTGTCCACAAGCGTCCCGGGTCCAGAGCTGCCCACTTCCGCCTCGGCCCCAATTCCCCCCAGCAGCGATTCCCTCAAGTCGCCATCTCCTGCCACACCACAACCGCCGAGCTCTTCACGCTGCGCATACCTCCACAAGACCAAAGAGAAGCCCTCGCACTTCGCAGGCAACGAGGGGCACACACAGATCCCAAACTGTTGTTTGCACATGTCCATTCGTTGGCCTGTCTCCCCGTTGCTCTCCCATCCGCGGCGCATACAGGCGGTCGTCGAAATGCTCGACGACCCACTCGCCCATCTCCCTGATCGACCCTCGCGCTTTCCGACGCCGGAGCATCTGCCCCTGCTTCCATCCCCACGAACGCGCCCAAACATCCAAGGCAGCGCTGCAGATCCCGGGCCCCACGCCGCGCCACGAAATCACCGTTGAGTCATCCGCCTAGAAACTTTCGGCAAGAGTGCTGAGCTCCCCCCAAGAACAAAACACGGGCCTTGCACCTGCTCGGCAATAACGGCAACATCGACCGGCGCAGCGCCCGCCACCAGAACGCCCAATTGGACTCAAGCTGCCCGTCCACGCCGGTCAAAACTGCACAGACAAGGCTCCAACGCGCGACCCAGGGCGCTGTGTGGCACTTACGCCAGCCGATCCCGCGATCCCGACCACAGCGCCAACGCTGGAAATCGGCACTGACGATTCGCTGCCTCGGGGCTTCGGCAACAGCGGCGGCGACGCGCACCTTCCGCCCCTCTGCCCTTCCCCTTCCTGTTGGGCGGCATCTCTCCGTGAGCGGCCTCGACGCACCCGCGCCGACCTCCTGCGGTTGTCCCCTCTCCGTTTGCAGGAGGCCCAGCGGCGAGTTGGCGTTTCCTTCACGGCTGCCGCTGGGCGAATACGGGCGCTTTCGGGATGACTACACACACGGACGCCTGTCAACGGGCGCGTATTGGGGCATGTACGGGAGCGCAGCTTGCCGCTCATCGTCCTCTCCAATTTGGGGCGCAAGGGCTTGGTCGCCGGCGGCGTCTGCGGTCGAGATCTGTGCGCCAGGGGCGGCACACGCGACAGAGGGAGAGAGGCGCGTGGACCGCGCCAGGGCCGCGCTCTGAGGATCGTGCGCTGCTGCCCCCTTCTCCGTCGGTGGGTGCCGGCCTGTGAATCGGCATGTCGCGCTGCCGCTCGTGGGCGCGCACAGGTCCGGTGTATCGCGGTGGATTGCCTGCGGCCGACTGCGGGGCCGGTGGGCCGAGCGCGCGGGAGGGCGGTTCGGCGCAGCGCAGAATTTGGCGACTATGGGGCGGTGTGGATGAGCCCGTTGGATTCTGGCAGCAAGCCGAATCAGTTGTTCATTCGCAAGGGCGTCGTTGTGGAGCAGAGCGGAGGTGTGACTGCAAACGATGTCGCCTTGTTTCGGCCCGACCTCGCGCCTTGGGGGGAGACTGCTAATGAATATTCCGGAAATACGAACGGTGTTTCTTTGCACTTCTTTGGCGGTGGTTCCAGCGGCCGCTGAGTGGAACAGCTGGGGCAGGGCGAGGCGGCAGGTCCCGAACGGGGCTGCATTGCAGTTGGTGCTGTTTGTTTGGGGTGCCAAGTACTTCTTGGTTTTCGAACGAAGCACTGGCATGGAGCCGTGCATCTGCAGTTTCCCTTTTGCTCTCGCACTGGCCCTTGTCATTGAGCTCAGGAAACGCCTCCGAGGGTGTTGGTGCGATATCATCAGGGCTTATTGAATTATTTTGGATCGCGTTTGTCTTACTAGAGGAAGACAGTGCTTTTCACCAATGAAGTTCTTGCAAGGCCTACGATTGTTTGCTCCCCCATGTTCGTATGTCTGTTTGCCGCCCATTCAGGCCTCTGGGATTGTGGATGCTGCAACTCTATAAACTCCTCCGCTCACAGCATGCTGGTACCAATCCAAGCAGGACAAGGGCATAGCGGAAGCTGCTTTGAATAAAGGAGCAGGTCGGCAGGTTTATGTCTCCTTGCCACAGCTAACTCACTTTCAACAAGATAGGAACGCTTCCTTTTCATGGCGATTCTGATGTGGAGCTTTTAATGGGAGGGGCATTGAATCCCCAAATCTGTGGTGATGAGCACAAATATGCAATGCTGATGTTTGACCCAATGGCAAGGCGTTTCCTAATTTTATGTTCTAATTGCAGCAAGACAAGCTTTGTTCAGATACCTGTGGTGCTCCATTCAATCTACTATACCATCTGAGCAGTTCAATTTAGACAAAGGAAAGGGAAAAGGCAGAAGCCATAGCACTGGCAAAAGGAAAGGAAATGCCTCATCTGTACCAGAAAAATGGGCCATATTTAGAATAGCTATCTCTTTACATTGATGGGATCCAATGTTCAAACGAACAGCAGCAGTGCCAAACTCCCAAGGACAGCTCAAAGCACAAAGAAAGTATCTCCCTGGCTCCCAACTACAATGGCCAAATTGGCACTTATTTGTGGAAAACTCGATGATAAGGCAACATTTGCCAAGCAAGTCTTTGGGAGCCCGTTTTTATGACCTTCAGACAATGTGGCGTTTGTGAGTGTTCAAATCTTGGCCTTGGCGTGGTGGCTGGAAGAGAATCCCCTCACCTTGGTGATTTTGGGCTTGGGGTTTTGCAACCAATGAAAGTTGGCTTTTTTCGGATTGGGGAGTCAAAGCACTGTCAGCGTTTCGTTACTTTGAATTTGGATCTAACTTTTGAATACTATGTTTTGCACACAATTTTGAGCATATAAGAATTTTTATGAATATCTGACTAGATTTGAAACAGTAACAGTGTTGTACAGTCATAGGGGACAATTGTTGTGGGACAGAAGAAACATGATATGGATGAGTGCATGGTTCCCCTTACTGGAATGTTCAACCTGGAAACTGAAATGGCCATATCCCCCCATTTGCTCACCACCATCCTACAATGCAAAATATGAGCATTGGACTCCAAATGCATGCCCAGGATCTTTGGGAAGTTGTCTATTGAATATTTTCATGAATGATCAAAGTCGATGATTTTTTGGCACTGATACGAACATCAATGGCCTGTACATATGGTAATGAGCTGGCAGCCATCGGAAAGTGCTCAGTGCAGTGCTCAATGCTCTGCTTGAAAAATATCTCAGCTGGTAGTAAAGAGAGTGAGCTTTAAAGCGCATATTGTGCTCCCTATGGGTGGCTGCAGCATGGCGTTAATTACAATTTATTGAATAGATTCTCTCAGCTTGATTCCAGGACAGGCATAGCATGTGTTGCTGCAAAGCATTGACTTGCTGGAGAAACGAATTCTATGTTATTTGGACTGCTGCATAGTGGAATGCTGCAATTCTGAAATCCATTAAATTTGTACACGTAGGAGGTGGGCGATGTTGTCGATGCATGCACCAAGAGTTGTGGGATACATTGTCTTCTCAACCTGTAGGCAGCATTTTTTGCACATGTCTATGTAACAATTGCAGCAAAAATTGTGAAAATGCCAAAGGATGCTGTGAAAAATTGTACTGCTTGTTGATTACCTGCGTGCAGGTTGAGGGATCAGAGCTTTTCCTTTCGACAGTAGGAAGATGCCAAGTCAGGGGCGGATGTCAATGGACTCACCACCGGCGCCTCGCAGCAGCGTGAGCGTGAAAGTCATAGGCCTGATGAGGAAGCTCATGGAGGACACGCCTGCCGTGGACATCCACGCATGCCCTGGCGGCACCCACCCGCAATCTGGACCCTCATCCAATGGTGCGACCTCGAGGAACCATGGCAGCAAACACACAGCACCAGAGGTTGTGGACCTCACCATGATCGATTCGGACGATGAGGTTGAAAGGGAAGAGGGAAAAGAGCAGGATGTAGCAGTGAAGCACAAGGAGGGACAGGAGAACAAGGAAGCAATAAAGGATGAGGGGTATCAGGGACAGGATGAAATGAGATTGTCAGACGTTCACGATGCTGGGGAATTGATGGATGTTCAGGCAGAAGATGAGTGGGCGCAGGGCAGTGAAGGGATGGATGAAGAGCCATGTGGTGGTGTTGAACGCCCAGCCCTGGGAAGTTCCATTATTGAATTCTATGGAGATGTTGGGACATCCCCCCTTTGCATCAAGACTCCCTCGATGCACAAGGCCCTTGGAAGCACTCTCAGCTCTTGCGGAGAGGTGAGAGTGCTGGGACACACGCTGGTGGGCCCTGCTTATGGGTTGTTCTGTCAGTTACAGCAGCGGCATGGGCCCGATCTGACGATCACTATGGACAATGAAAAGTACGATGAGACTGTAATTCAGAGGATAATTCAGAGCGCACGCCGCCTGATATTCCCTGCAGGTCATGAGGGGCAGGGCATTCGCTGTGGGGGCTTTAATTTACCACCTGAACTAGAGTGCAAGGGGTGTTTCACGGACATGTTGATCAGCAGGTTTGACCACCGGAGGATGTTGGCTGGCCAGAGGGGTGTATTTGCAACAGAGAGGATTCCAAAGCACTGCGTGCTTGGTCCCTATAGGAACCTGACCCTGCCCGAGAGGTTCTTTGACTATTACATGAAAAATCCTCCCCCCAGGTGGAAGGAATACGCAAGAGGCAGGTGCAGCCACCCCGACAGAGTATGGGAGTTCTTGGTGAACAGCTACTCAGCGGATGCCTACTTGACTCAAGTCACAAATAGCCGAGGGGGCCACAGACAGGTGGAAGAAAAGTATCGGTTGACCATGTCGGCATTTGGGTACGGGAATAAAACCGCCCTTGTCAACGACCACCACATGGATCCTTTGGGGTTTTCTTGGGGCGAGGATTGCACATCGTACCTGGACCTACCATGTGAGACGAGCCAAGCATACCGTGCAGCAAGGCTTGGGAAAACATACAGCAAGCCGAATGTCGATATTCAACCCATATATATCAATGGCTTCCCATTTCTGTTCCTCATCTCGATCAGGGAGATTGGTGCAAGGGAGGAACTGTTGTACGATTATGGGTACGAATTTTGGGATTGTCTGAAGCCCCTCCTAGACCATTTAGACGCAGCTGACAAGGCTCTGGTCAAGAAAATTATGCGCAGAAAGTAGCAGTTCGGGGGGAGGGCGTGCAGAGAAGAATAAAGCAGCAAGCAGAGAGGAGCGACGCTAATGCTGCTGTGCAACGATGACAGCAAATTGCATACACTATTGTAAACTGACTATTGTCTAGAGTTCACTTGCATCCTAGCTACTAGCCTTTGCAGTGCTTACTAATGCAACACCTGAACTGGCACCATGGTGACAGAGACCGGAGCATGCCATTCCACAGGTGGTTCTTTCCATGGTAACAGTTGCGGAGCTCCCAAGTGCATGCCATGTGGCAATGAGCGCATTCGGCACAAAGCAATGCCAAGGATTGACAAACTTTGTGTTGAGCTTGTGTTCCAACGTGGAGATGATTCCTAGGGATGCAGTCTGAATCAACGCCATTAGCTTGCCATTTGTAAGAACACAAAACGCTATGCTGGCTGTGAGGACCCAATCCTTTGACTTTGTAACGTGTACACCCTAGAACCCGAAAATACATTGCCGTACTAACTGCTTGGCCAGCAGCTTTCTGCAAAGAGCTCGCACCAACTTGGAAATCCACCGCGTTAATGGCGATGATGGCATGATGACCCCTTGTTGCAACACTTCTGAGGATTGACGACAATTCGGTTTGGTGATAATCAAAATGCTGTGCGGGTCGGACAAAGAAGGGAAAGGTGAAATCTACAAACGGTCTTATGCAGATGGTGTGGTCGCTCATGCAAATCATGATGGTGGTTGATGAGTACAGTTCGCTGTTCCACGATCATTTTCCCCCCCAAGCCAGCCCATCAGTACAGAAGGTAGTCCCCATCACTGAACTAACAAAGTCTGGCAGTGATTCGATTGCGACCGTTCGTATCCTTTTCCGACGCCAGTTGTCGCTGCCTGGCATTGTCTACTAGCAGCCCTCAACTTGGTCATCGACTTGCACGGATTCTAGCCCCTGTCGGCATCAGTGCTCGAAATCGACCAAGGCACACTGGGTTGTCTGCAATCTGGCGGTCGCAGCCTTGATTTGCCATCCTCCCGTCCATCAACATGGGATGCGGGCTCTCGACGACTGCCTATCCCGACGACACCCATCCCGCCATGCTGCAATGGCACGGTCGGCACACTCCGTTTCCCACCCGCGAATGAATGAAGACAAGCCCTGCCGCCACCTTCGCGACTAGATACCACCGCAAGCAAGCCGGCTGCACCCATGTCTATCCACATCCTGCGCCGCGTACCTGTGCACATGGATGCCCATATCACTGCAGGGTCCCATGCATGCCGCGTTCACCCAGCCCTCTTGAGAGGGCTCCGCTCTCTCAGGGGCATCAACTCTCTGGATGGTGGCTGCTCCCTACCAGTCGGCGCATTCGAGCGTTCATTCAGCTCTGCCCTCTGTTGTGGTTCGACGCTGAAGGAAAACGACCCATTTTGCCACGCCAACTGCAATGCCATTTGCCGCTGAGCGCGTCATGACAGTAATTGCGACTGCACAAAGGCAGCTGTGGTGGCATCAATGAACGTCAACTGGCATCGCAATTGACGCTGCAAGGTGGTGTTTCCTATCAATGCAATCTCCGCCCCAGGGCTCCAAAGCTCGCGTTGTGGATCTAGATTGATCTAAATGATATCGATTACCATTCGATATCGGCAGCCACGCCAACTCAGAGCCCCGCTTTAGACTGGCATTTGCAGGAGGCGCAAATAGTCTTGCACAGGCTCGCCAACAGATGAAACAGCCTGAAGAGGACCGCTCTGCTAGTGTCCACAAGCACCTCATACTCGTGCTGTCCAGAGGTGTGACACGTGAATGTTGGCCACAGGTGGTGCAAGACTATTTTCATGGCCTGGGGGATTCATCGCTGGCAATCCATGTTTCCTGCATAGGGAAGACACTATGTCGATTTTGTTACGATTAGTGTCAAATTGACGTCAAATTGGGTCCGGACCTGTGATGCTAAGAGGTTGTGTAATTGCCACAAAATCGGTATGAGGTGCACAAAAACGCCACTGATAGGCGGCAAACAACCCGTGACTGGCTCCTGAACCTCTTGAAAGTGTTTGATCTGCAAAGCAAGCCTTAGAATGGATCAATTTGCAAACATTGAGGCTGTCCGCCTGGCCTACAATGGCATTTTAGAATACCATTCTTCAACCCACTGAAATCAGCAAAACTTTCATTGTTTGTTGTCTTTAAAACCGCCTAGAAGTTGCATACCTCAAGCGTATAGTGTTACTGAGACCTCATTGCAGGATTGACGCTAGGTGTGGGGTGGGGAGGTGGGGTGGGGGGGGGGGGTTCTGAGCTGAACGTCAACTTGACACTAAGCTTGCACAAATAGTGTGCTGCGAAGAGTAGAATATATTCTTGGGGCGGCTGTTCTGAGGCCCGCAAGTTAAAAATTTACTGAAATAGTGAATCACCAGTTGAAATACATTGCTTGGGCGGCAAATACCTCACAAAACTGAGACTGAGTGGCAATCCACTTCAAGGCTAAATGATCCATAAGACCAGTGAAATCGTCTCGGCACATGTTGCGGACGTGTAGTGGACATTATATTATACATGCTTAATTGCAAATCGTATATCACCTATATCAGTTAATTGTGTCAATAACAAACAACATCACGAGGATTATGCATTGGCAGAAAATGCTTCCTCCCTCCCGGTTTGATTTTCTTCTATGATTTTGAGGCGTTAGTTCTCCATCGTGCCTACACCAGTTTTCAATGAAATTTACCCCAAAGCTGTGCTTGTGATGTTGTGCGCTTGTGAGTAAACTATCAAAATTTCAAGTCGATCCATTGAGTTTTAAGGATTTGGCAGTATTTTGTAGCAAGGGTCCTCTGGCCAGAAAAGGGTCGCTTTTGGACGTTGCGCAGAAAAACAGCCATTTTTGGCTGTTTTGGGGAGCACACATTCGCTGCAGCGAAACAAAACCGTCCTTGCGAAAACTATTCACGCGTTTCGGGGTGGAGGTCACTAGGGTGCTTGCAAAGAGTTACAACGATAGAAAACGCGTGTCGAATGCCTTGATCGTCGAACTTGCCATGGCTTGTAGCATCAATTCAGGCTTGATCTGGTGGATCAGAGAAACGTTGCGGACACAACTTTTTTGGCCAGGGCTTTTCGAGCTCCTTCGCCACCATCAAGGCAGCTGAGGGAGGTCTCCCAATCCTTTTAAGAAGGAGCCAGAGCTGGTGATGGTTATCAACCTGATATAGCACGAACAATTAGTAAATTGAGCACTGCCACGGAAATTGCGATTTGTCCTTGTTTCGGAACTTCAAAGGATTGGGTACTCACAAGCACTGGCTACTTTTGGACTTCTAGCTTCGGGGCCCATGCGGGCCCCTATTCAAGCATCAACTAAGGCGAAATATCCGAGCAAGGCTACCAATCAACCTTAAAGTGATAGCACGCACTGAGACCAGGCTTCAAGGTTTTAGATGTTGGCGTTTCTGCTCGTTGGAGGTCCGCCCGTCGGAGATCGAGAAAAGCGGCGATTTCGGGCATCGTCAATGTTGCGATGATGGCCGCCTAAAACAAAGATGAAGCACGTTCGATTGCGTTTGGCAAGTGCTATGCCACGTCCTGGATCCAGGACGGGCCCGGACCCGTCCTTTGCTGCAATGGTGGCAGCCACTGGTTTTGCAAATTCCAGGCACAGGAGCGCCCCCAAATCAAGGGGTTATGCCAAACCGCTGAAATGGAACGCGCAATTTTTCGACTGTGTCAAGGCA